TTCTTTTAATATTTATTCAAAACCCTTTTGTACATTGTATGCATGCATTTTGTTGGAATATCATTGACCAAATAAGTTAGCTTACAGTCATCCAAAAGACTATGATAAATTACAGATTTTGTAATTTTTTTTTTCTTTTATGCATAAGATGTGTTTTATTTTTTATTTTTGAATAATATTCTTTAAGTCTTTCTTGATTTAGGGCAAATGAGTAACAATAAAGAACATGAATAATTAAGCAAAAATGGCAGAAATGGTGAATCACATTAACATAGGAATGGGTTGAATAATGATGGATAATGGGACTTTGTTGATACCATTATCAAGTTAAACAACTTGGAATTAGCAAAATATAAATACTCTAGATGAGATTCAAGTTTCAACTGCTGTTTTTGTTAAGGTCAATCATCAAGGTTAAAATGGAAAAAAAAAAAGGAAAAAAAAAAGTATAGGAAATGAAACACGCTGTAATAGTATTACATATCCGTATAGATTAGAAATACCAATATTACAACAACAGGTTACAACAAAAGGTAAAAAAGATACAATCTTGATTCCAGCAGAAGGAAAATAAAAAAGAAAGAAAGTGTACACCAACTACTTTATGGATTATTATTCTTTGTGTCTAGATTCACGAAAGGCATGAGATGAACCACTGAAAACGGACGAAAAATCAGAAATGTCCGTCTTATTAGCTCAAGAACAGAGTCGTACACTGGTTTACTGTGTCCTCAGGGCTTGTAACTGATAACAAGCGGCAGATAATAAGATCACATCATAAGAAAACAATAATGATAACAAGTAGCAGGATAATAAGTTCACATCAAAACAGATGCATAAGGAACTTTTGGTAGCAAGCAATCTTTTTTCCCTTTTCCAAGACTAACGAGTTTTAGTTTAAATGTAACATATATTCGGTTTGAAAATGGCCTTTTTCAGAACAGAACTAGATTGGTAGATCCTAATTGCCATTTGCAGAAGATAAGAACTTTTGGCTGTTCGTTTATGAGTTTATCAAAAAATGACAAGTACAAAGAAAAGGAAAAGATAAGCTGACCTGTGTGGCCTTTGGTTCTTTCTGAATCATAGATTTCGAAGTCATTTCCTCCCTGTTTACGGGATAAAAAATGAATGGGAAGAAGAACAAATTGTATGCTTGAAGTATGATCCGAAAGCAAGACAATGAAGAAAAAGAAAAATAAATTACAACATTACAATTATTGGTTTAGCCTAATTACATAAAACGTCAAATTATTATTCCATTTGATATTATTGCCCGTGAGGTTTATAACCAAGTCAATACAGATACTGAGGGTGAAATTTGCAATATACAAACAAATATCAAGGAACAATTGAGTATTTTTTTAACATTACCAAACCCCAAGTTCCCTGTTGCTTTTATTTCCATAATTAAATTTCGTGTGCATTCGAACCAGAGTTATAGTTCTATAACAATGAGGGCTCAACACACCTTGTACGTCTTATCTCCAAAGAAGTGAATTTCATGAAAGTCATCCAAGTATTTCAAACAATATGTTTTGTCCCAGCCTCGAGGAAAAACCTGCTCCAAACATTTTGCTGAGATAATTTACTTTTTCATAATAACTGGAAAAATTTGGCGAACATAAACAATTGCTTACGTCAAAACTGATTTGTCCCCCAATAGAAAATGTTAGGTTGAAATGTGCAAACTTCTCCCTGAGTACAGACACCATTTTGAGGCGAATGTTGTGTACCTGATGATATTTATAGAAAAAAATCATTTGTGATTAGTGAATGAGCATAAACAATTCAAATTAAAACAAAAGTGTCAACATGTGATCTCTTCTCGTACGTATATTTTCATGTAAATTTTTTACCTTATCATACTTTTCAAACTCATCACGTTCTCCCTGACTGCAGTTTCTCCCAATTGGTGATACATTAAGCATCCCACTTCTAAATTCAATAAATGTTCCCCTGAAATAAGTAAATAAAAGTTGATCCAAAATGCTCATAAGTCATAAAAATGACCAAGAGCTATTTGAGCTTGAAGTTCTCCTCACCTTTTAATAGGGATATCCAAGTCAGCAATGTAATGGAGAGTGAAGTTGATGAACTCCTGTATCATTATTCACAGTATATCAAACATGATTCTGGCCACCAATCACAACATTAAGATTGCTATATGATGCTTTAAATGAGTCATGATAATTTTTAACACCGATTTTGCTGGTTTGTAGCATCCACGGAACCAGCATACGTGCAAATCAAACAATAACAAAATTCTCCAATCTTATTCTGTAGAGATCTTATTTCTAATATAACCAGATCTTTTGTAAATATACAGATTAAACCATCGATTACTACACCCTTCATGGAGATGAAATGTGTTTAAAAGACTTTTATCAGCAAAAATCAATAATTTGAGAAAATAATGCACTGAATTCTAACCTTGAGCTTGTCCTCTCCAAGAAATGATTTCAAGCTCTGCATGTAGATGTACATCAAATAGTCAATATACTAGCATGAAAATATATTAAAACTAAAAATTCCTACTACCACTGTTCTTGAAGTTTATAACATGTCCAAGGGACTACCTGTGTTCCAATTAAACTTCCACCCTTGTAAGCTACTAGGCCATTCTCAGCAAACACATAATCATAGTCAGTAGTAACTGTATAGGTCGATAATAGAGAGTATCTTAGAAAGTCAAACATACGGGTAAGAGAAATAATAATTGAGATGAGTAACCAACATTAGAATAAGGATCGAATTGGAGGATTACCTGTGTTCCCAAGCTGCTCTGATATCTTAACGAGATCAGAACCTCCAACCACACCAACAGTAACTACCTGGCAAATTGGAAAAACAAAACATTTAATCTTTAAACCAATAATGCTCTTTGTTTCTTTGGCTTTGTTTTCCACAATTTTTTCAAGGAACAAAGATCAAAAGACAAGCTCCTCGCAAATAAGATTTCACATGATGATAAAAAAAAATAAAAATAAAAATAAAAAAAAATAAATAAATTTGAAAGAAAAATCTACCTTCTTAAGTTTCTGCATGAACTCTAACATCATAGGGGTTGCCGCCTGAAACAATCAGGTCTAAAACATTCAGCAAACCACTCAAGTATTTACATATGTGCGTTTGTGTGTGTAGAAAGTTAAAATAAATTAGTATGAACCAATCAAGCCAACCACAAGACCATTTTCCACGAGTATGATTAGCACATTACAATATCGTAAACTTCAGAACTACACATTCAACCATTCACTATCTCAAGTAAGCACCGGCAACACATCCTTTCATCTTCGATCACCCAAGTAAAACCATAGCTTTTCAAAAAAATATTACTTGCAGCAATAATTTCAACCACTGGAGCCAAAAATAACATCCACTAACAATAGATCAGGCAGACTCATGAATCGGCATATCAACTCAAATCAACCACCAAATCCCCTAAAGTTAGCTTATGCAAATAAAAGGAAATCAAATTGAACCTAGAACAGTATTTCCAAATTTCTCAAAAATAATTGAAACAAAATACAATACCATATATCCTGAAACAACTGCATACTAACGCAAGCAATTCAATGTTTCGTCAATTTAAAATAAAAATAAAATAAAAGATGATCAAAGATTGGAAAAGGGATTACAGACCTTTCTAGGAGCAGTTAGAGTACCATCAACATCAAAAAGAGCAATCAAACCAGGTATCCTCGCTGCCATTTCAAATTAGAGCTGCAAACGAAACTCAAATATAGAATTAAAAGGAAAAAAAGAAAAAAGAACTGTTCCAGAATGCAGCAAAATCGAAGGGGTAAATTGGATTACCTGAGTACTTCAGAAGCTCAAATCGCCAATAAAATCACTGCAGAGCTCAAGATTCCGAGGTTTTTTGTACTACAATTTTACAATATTATTTGGTAGGGATTTTATAGTACAAGCAAAGTGCACATTGGGTTTTTGAATTTTTTTTAGGCAAAATCCAATTTTAACTGTAGTAAAGAAGAATACTCAGTACTCACTGACCATGACACCATAATTTGAGAGGCGACAACAAAGGACACCAACAAGCACCAATACGATATGGACGCGTAGCAATAACCAACACGTGAGACAACCAATGAAGCAATTTTGGTTTTATCCCATTAAATTTGCAAAAAAATATTAGCAATTTATATAAGTTTTTTCTATGCAATTCAACCATTTAACTAAAAAATAAAAATATTATTCATGTTATAATATAATGTCCAACAAGAGACGTTATTCATTTTCACACACAATTCTAACTATTATCAGTTACTACTTTATTATTTGTATGTCACCTTAACTTTAATAATTATTTTTATTTTATTTTATTCAAATCTTAAATCAAGATATCTTTTTTTTCTAGTTTTATTTTTTCATTTATAATTTTCGTACGAGGCAATACCTTTCAATAAATTTACTACATCTCCAAGACTCCAACTGCACCTATACATTAAAATATCAATATTGATTAAAAAATGTTCTATTTGTGGAGACTCAGGGCATGTTTGTCTATGAAAAATTTCAAAAAAAAATTTCTATCATTTTAACTCAATTATTTTTTTTAACTCAACTTTAACTCAATCTCACTATTATCAAAATTATCAATTTAATTAAATAATATCAATCAATCATTCATACACATCACATCAACCTTAATTCACTATTCATTCACTCAAATTATTTTAACTAACCATCACTTCAAATCTCTCTCTCATACTTTTATATCAAATCAATTATAATTATTTTATTTTAAATATTATTTTTAATATACTCACTAACAACTGACCATACCACCTTTTTCAAAATTAACCAAACCAAATCAAAAAATCCAAACAAAACCAAAAATTTTAATAAACAAACATGCTCTCAGTTTTCACTTTCTCATGTAATACACATTACTTATTTTCGTATTTATTATGATTAAATATTATTTATCGGTCCTTTCCATTTTTTTTAATTATTGGATAAGTGAAAAGAAAAGGTATCGTTAGGTGGTGAGGTCCAACGGCCATGCGAAAAGCATTTAATGTAGTTTGCACCGCTTTTCACCGACGTTCATTATTATTTTGCACGCGGTTTTAGAGTGTGCAATAATTACAAAAATATTTGAACTTATGAAGTATTGAATAGAGTTG